CCCGATCCTGTGGATGGGGTCTCCTGGCCAGGGGTTCCCGGCGGGTAGTTGTACTGCAGAGTCGGGCACGGCGTGTCCTCCTCGCCGCTTCCCTGCTCCGTCGTGGGCGTCGTGCCAGCCGGGGTAGGAGCGGGGTAGTTGTACTCCAGGGTCGGGCAAGGAGTGTCTTCGTCCGAGGAACCAAGCTCCGACGTCGGGGTCGTGATGGCCGGGGTGCTCACGGGCGTCTGCTGTTCCGGGTGCGAGCCGGATCCGGTGCCCTGCTCCGTGGTTGGAGTGGTAGGAGCCGGGGTAGTAGAAGGAGTCTCCTGAGAAGGCGACGAGCCCGAGCCGGTGCCTGACGTAGGCGATGACGGAGCAGGCGTGGACGTAGGCGTCTGCTGCTCCGGGTGCGATCCAGAGCTTGAGCCCAGCTCGGAAGTCGGCGTAGTAGGCACGGGTGTGGTAGCGGCCGGAGTGGCTTCGGGGGCCGGCGTCGTGCCAGCCGGAGTCGACACAGGCGTGGCCGGAGTGGCCTCGGGGGCAGGCGTCGTGCCAGCCGGAGTAGACACGGGCGTGGCGGGGGTCGACACAGGCGTGGCCGGGGTAGTGGCCGGGGTCGACACAGGCGTGGCCGGGGTAGTGGCCGGGGTCGACACAGGCGTGGCCGGGGTCGTGGCCGGCACCGGCGTGTTCAGACCGGACTTGCCACCGTTCTGCGTGTACGTGTCAGCTGAGTTCTCAGTGCCGCCAGGCGAGTAGCTGCCGGCGTTGTCAAACGTGATGCCGCCGCCGCCGCCACCAAGCACGACCTGCATAGCCATGGCCGCGAGCACGATGGTCGTGTACACCTTCATGGTAGTTTACTGTAACAGGAGACGAATAACACGCTGTTGGATGGACTAGAAACGGGAAACGGGAATCTCCAACCGGGGACGACGCTGGTAGGGCACTTCGCTCTCGGGAGGAAATTGGGGAATGAGGAGCACAGAGGAGAGCATGCTGCCGCTCATATACGAATCGACGATGCAGGGGAGCGGCAGGGAGCTCTCTCGCACTAGGCGCTTATCCTGGACGAGATTTTGCACTCGGCCTCTTGGTCTCACTATGCCCAGCCCTATCTTTTACGCGTGCACGACCATGTGTAGCGACGAGCCCCAGCCGCTGACTCCCTTTGCCGCGTCCTCAGTCTCCGCTTACTCGGGCCAAGTGCTTTTCTGACTTCGGACGACGTCGCTGAATTGCGCTGCCCCGTATCCCACGGGAAGCAACAGATGCCGCCGCCTTGTGGCTCTGCACGCTGCTGGCTCGTTGACGACACTTTCGCTGCGAATGTTCCTCATCTGCAGCGATGGCAATGCAACAATGGAAGCGGAGACTTCGGTCTTCTTGACCGGATCGCATCTTTCGATCTAGCAAGCTACGCCTAGTCATACTCATGTCAAGGTTGACACGGATCATCTCGCTGAAAGGCAAAGCGGCCAAGGTTGACGGTCACCACTGCAAAACCGCCAACTTGACGGCGAAAGTCAAATTTGGCATCGCCACAGCAGTGAGCACTGCCCTATGCTGTTAGCTCACTATTAACCTAGCTGTCGAGAACGTTCCGCCGTAGCTGCAGGCAATAGTCCTTATGGCTGGCAAACCCAGTGCGGCATCGCCATCTGCGCCCAGACAGGCTTCCGGCGCGAGTATCCACCGCTTATCACCAGCCTCGCGACGGCACTACACGCACGCAATGGGGACGCACGCGATTGCAAAAATTGCAAGTCGACTACAGTTGGCCCCGCACGGACCGAATACACAGGCCACGTCCCATACTTGTGCTGCCTCGGTCAAGGATTGACTCGAGCGGTGTGCCTCCGACATCTTGCTGCGGCGAGATTGTCCGACACGGTGCTGCTGCGCTCGGTTGTGATCGCACAGAAAACTGCGTCTCGGTGTTCAACCAGTCACCCTGGATAGGGCGCGGTGGATAACACATCGACGCTGTTCGTAACACTGCATGTTGCTCTCTGTAAAGATCCACCATGAAGTGCAATTGAAGCCAGCCCACTATGGGACGGGCGGAGCTGCCGTCGGAGCTGCTTGCCTCTGTGCTACATGTATTATTTAGCCGATCGGCTTCTCGGCAAGGCGTGGAAGTTCCAATGGAACGGCGTGCTTGTGCGGACAACTCACCTGTGACGTGTGTCTGACTACCTAGCTCGCGGATCGCCGCCACAACACGAATGGAACGGGCTGCCAGCTGGAACACGTTGAAGTGCGCACCGCCGTCTTTGGATCGGATCGGGTCCGTAGGACCAGCTCCACCGTCAGGCTCTTGTCGGCCACAGCGACTTCGAACAACAAACTCTGAGCTGGGCGGTGCTGCCTCATCAGGCGTTGCAACGACAGCCCGCGACAAGCACGTTCGTCGCCTACGTTCTCGCCGCACGACTGCAAGCTGATGGACGATCGTCCAATTGAATATTGAGATACCTCAGCGTGTAGCCATGCATCGAAGAGGCAGGACCACTTCAACATGCCGGTTCGTTACGTGTACGCTATCTAAATGCGGTGCGGGATGCTTGTCGGCAGGGTAGCAGAAACCAGCAACGCTACGGTGTTTAACACGCGCAAATCATGAGCGGGCGAAGTCCCTCTTCCAGACGCGATAGTCTGTCCGAGTCCGAGTCCGAGATGAGCATCGGTCCCGGCAGCGTCGACAGCGTCAGCACTCTGGGGCGACGGAGCAAGCCGCGCCACGTCATTTACGAAGGCAGCGAGATCGACGACACCGACGCTCACAGTGAGCTTGATGTCAGTCTATACGATACGGACGAGGTCATGGACACGGAGCGCACCAGCTACCGCATCTCGCTAGGCAGTGACGGCTTCGAGTCCATCCTGTCAGACCCGGACGCTGTACACGAGGACGTTGACGAAGAGATCACATTCCCGTCCCACCGCAACCGTGTCGCTTTCAACAGCTTCGTGAGCGTCGATACGGCGACTTCAGAATATGAGCCGCCGCATCCGCAGCGAGGTCCACCACTCCACTTGCAGCAGCTCCACCAACAGAACCAGCGCCTTCAAACGCTTCAACGACAGCAAGAGGAACAGATTCAGGAGCAGCAGCAGCGATTCCCTGGTGCCTACGAAGCGAGTATTTCGTCAACCTCATTCTACCAGTACCTTCGTAGCAGCCTCGCTCTGGGTGGCGCGACTGCAGATAATGGTGGCTACCCGCCTTATATCGCCCCACCGAGGGCTTCGATGAACCCCGACCCAAACGTCCGCACAAACTTTACCAGTGCATCATCAAGAGACGCACCGCTCGGTACTCCTGGCGATGCGTACGATGTTCTGGGCACGCCACCGGGAGATCCACCAGCCTCCCGACCCTCCCAACCTCCGTCGGAGCAGAATAGAGAGTCAACACCATTTGATGCAATCCACTTTCAAGCGCTACAGCATCCACCTCGATCCATGAATTCATTTCTACTGATTCTGCTCATGGGTGCAGGCTTTGGTATCGGCTTTGCAGTTCTCTCTGCTGATCCACCCAGTGCCTATGGCTACTGGCTCAATGAGGTGGGCACACTCTACATCCGCATCGTCAACTGCACAGCCGTGCCCATGGGAATCTGCCAGGTGATCTTCTCTGTGTCCACGCTGACTGCGCGTGGAGCCTTAGGACGGCTCTGGCTCAAAACATTCGGCTTCTACCTCGTTATTTGTCTGCTTTCAGTGATGATGGCCATCCTTGTGGCTAGCGCGCTTCGGCCTTCGCTGAAACAGACCGACGTGCTGAGTTTCGAAGTCTCCAGTGCTCAATTTGGATTCCAATGCAGTAACAACAAATATCTCGAGCTCAACAATTCGACACTAGCGTGCAGCTCTGACAGCTTTGACGACGCGAACAGCACCGCGGCCGTGTTCCCAAGCTTCGTGGATGTGAACACCGTGCTGGGTCTGCCCGAGTCCATTCCACAGCTGAGTTTGACGCAGTATCTTTTCCAATTAGGCTATCGTTACGTTCCGAACAACGTTGTCCAGGGGCTAAGTGCCGACTACCATATTAGCTCTATGGTGATCGCCACTGTTCTGGGCGTGGCCGTCACGCGCAGTTTCCGCGGAGGTGGTGTGGGACGCGAGCGGGGCGATGCCAGACGTAACCCGTTACTGAGACTATTCGTTCACATGTACGCAGCGCTGTTCACAATCTTGGACTGGCTGCAGTCACTGGCGCTGTTAGCTATCCTACCGATAACCATCGGATCAATCCTTGTGGACCCTGCGAACGCGAATCTGGCGTCGTTTGCTGGGAAATGGTGTCTCGCCGTATTGCTCGTATGTTCCATTCAGAGTCTCGTGCTCTGTCCGATCCTGTTCTTCTGGGTCACGCGGCGTCAGCCTTTCGGATGGCTGCTAAAGGTGTTGCCGGCGCTGCTCTACAGCATTTTACTACAGTCTCCAATTCTACCCTTGCCTATCGCTACGAAAAGTGTGCTACGGTCGCGCGAAGTTCCGCCTGCCGTATTCGGAGCGCTGTTTCCGGTGTTGTCGGCATGCAACCGTCTCGCTCAGGCAATGACACTTCCGATTATCTTGATGTGGGTGGTGGGCTATACAGACTGTGGACTGCCACTAAACTTCAGCAACAGTGCCCTGCTTTTTAGCTACGCACTCATCGCCAGCTTCGGAGACACGGCGTTACCGCAGTCACACATTGTGTACTTCATCACTGTCTGGCGCGGCTTTTGCGGCGTCGAGCACTTGCCGCCCACGCCGATTGCCATGAGCGGCGTCACGCTGCTCATCGGTAGACTACAAGCACTCATCAACACAGCCACCAACCTGATGCTGGTGCGGATGGCGGCCAGTACGGACGAGGGCCGCATGTACGCGCACCACTTTGCCGTGTAGGTAAAATAGTTGCGGTGCACTTCCGTACAGCAATGCGCACATTTAATATCGCACACGTTAGTTCTGCTCGAAAGCTTCAACGAAGTCTAGCAGGAGAACGCTTTAGGCTACAGTTTAGCTGCATCGCGTACAAGTTCTGCTAGGACCAACAACTATTAATACGCCGTAGGTTTATCCGAATAGGTTCACTCAAGCACTTGCTACGTTGAAGAGGCACGGCACTAATGGATAGGTTGTCCAGCTGTAGCCAAGTTCAAGCATTGAGTGACATGGACGGTTGCACTAGCATCACTAGCGCCACCGATTGTCCTTTTTTCTGTTTGAAAAACGCTCTGCGGTAAGTACGAGTATTGGATTAGAAAGGATATTCGTTTGTGAAACTCGCTTTGAAACTTTTTTGTATTTGTACATGTTACTGCACTGCGCTATATAAAAGAAAGTTAAATAAACAATCAAATTTCAAATGTATTTGTTACGATAGCTGGCCCATCCCCTCGAGATCTGTCTCCTCATCAGAGAGTCAGCATCTTCTGGACCAAGTCTCCATCAAGCTCGTCGCCGCTCATGGGGCCTCGTCGCCTCCGCCTTGCGGCCGTGGCGCTGTCGTTCCTCTCCCCCTGCGCCGCCTCGGCCTCGGGGCTGCTTCGCATTCCGCTGGAGAACTACGACCAGATGCAGTTCTTCGGCTTCATCGGCGTCGGGTCGCCTCCACAGCGTTTCCAGGTCATCTTCGACACAGGCTCGAGCGATATCTGGCTGCCCGAGACAAGCTGCGCGGACTGCGCCGGCTCTAGGCGCTACCACGCGGCCGTTTCGCGCTCTCACGAGCCGCTGAACGAACCCTTTCGCCTCGAATACGGCAGTGGCAACGCTTCGGGTCGTGTTGTTCGCGAGCAGATCTCGCTCTTTGGAGGCGACGCACAGGACGAGCTTCTGACGCTCTCGAAGGTGCAAATAGGCAGCACCAGCAAGACAACGAAGAGGTTGCAGCGCTTCCAGGCCGACGGCATCGTAGGGCTCGGCCTCGAGGAGCTGGCGATCATCACCAAGCCTAGTCTTCTCAAGTCTGACCCGCGGCTGGGACGCTTCTCAATCTACATTAACCCGCTGCCTGGTGCATTGCCACCGGCACAGCTCATCTTCGGCGGTGTGGATGACTCGCTGCCTGTTGCTCACATTCCGGAGGCGAACGGAACACACGTTAGCTGGCACCACTTCCCTCTCGTTAGGTACCCGTCCAGTAGACGTGCACACGGCTTCTGGGCCATTCGGTTGCATCGACTCGCAGTTGGACACTTTGATTCTCGATCAGAGTCAAGCTCGAAGCAACTAGCAGGTAGTGGAGAGGGAATCGTAGCGGTCTCTGCAGCTGTGGCTATTGTAGACTCTGGCACTTCACTACTGCTGCTTCCGCGACGAGCCTTCGACGCCACAATAGCTGAAATTCGGCAGCATTTGCGCGTACAGCACGGCCGAGAGCTACGTGCGGACCCTCATGTAGTGAGCGGATACTCTTGTGCAGACTGCACGGCGGAGATGTTCCCCGCTCTGCGATTTAGTTTTGTGATAACGGAAGCGTCAGTTGATACACAGATGAAGACGCAGACGTTAGTGCTGCGGGGCACGGACTACGCGCGCTGTGACGACCTCATCTGTGCTCCACAGCTCGACGTACACGCACTGTTCACATCGAAGAAGACCAAGAGCAAGCTGGTGATCCCTTCTGCTTCGGCAATGACTACCAATGTTCCGCAAGAGATGGAGCACGAAGAAGTTGTGGTGCTTGGTGTCACGTTCCTGCGCGCGTACTACGTGCAGTTCGACTCGGAGCGCAAGACCGTGGGGTTCGCCTGCGTCGGCTCGGCGTTGTCTACTGCAGCGAATGTCTGCTCCGGCGGTTGGACGCCCAAGCTCCAGTTCCACTCGGCGCACTTCTCGGACGCTGAAGCCTCAGCGTGGCGTGCTGGTTGGGTCTTCTGGTCGCGGGTGTACTTGGGTATCGGTGTGCTGTTGCTGGTGGTGGCGTTTGCGCTGCTGTGGCTCATTCTGGTGGTACCGTCGTCGGATGTCGAGAAGGTGCTCGACTGGCTCTACGGACCCAGCGACAAGAACCGAAGGCGACAGCAGCAAACGGAGTCCAAGCTAACGCCAAGTCGGCGGAGCTCGTATCAAGCTCTGCAGATCGAGAAGGCCAGCGACAACAACCGAGGCGACGAAGCCTCAGAGGAGCCCGACTCGGAGCCGGAGTCGCCTCACGCATCATCAGCAGCACCGTCAAGGCGGAAGAGCGTGTGCTTCGACGTGTAGACAGATAGAGTAGATCAAATAACAATATTGCAATGTACAAGTAGCTCGGAACAATTTTACGCTCGAAGTTGAAGTTTTTGTCCGTAAAACTTCGTTGTTATTCGTAAAAATCGGTTAAAATATCCTGATAATATTTCGATCGGCAGAGAAACAGGTCTCTATTATCGCTGCGGCGCCGGCCATGGAGCTGCTCAACAAGGTCTGTCTGTTCGGCGCGCGCCACTGCTTCTACACGCAGTCGGCGGCGGCTGGCGCGGCTTACTGCTACGCGGCGGTGCTGGCCTACACGCTATCCGTGAGCATCCAGCGCGCTCGCCTGGGAGAGCACGGCCACGCGACGCACCTGATGCCGGTCAAGCGGATGCGCTGGTTCCCGACGTTCTTGAGCTTCGCCTACTTTTCGCGTATCGCGTGGCTGGTGCTCAGTAATATGCACATGTTCCAGTGGGTGGAAGGCTCGGCGCCCAACTTCCGCTACGAGCACATGGTGTTCGTCACGCCACTACTGCCGACTGACATCGACATTTACGTGCTGGGCGTTACGAGCTTCGGCAAGCTGGCCACGCTGCTCTACTTCTCGGCCTTCACGCTGCTACTCCGTTTCTGGGAGGACGTGCGCACACAGGCTCGGCGGGCCGAGCAACCGTTGGCCCGAGTGGCCGCTAACCAGTCCGTCATCGCGGAGTATACGCGTGGAGCCGGCGCTCAACGGTCTGGGCGGTCCAGGAAGCTGTTCCTCGTGGCTAACGTCTGGATCTACCTAGTAGAGTGCGCCCTACTGGTGCTTAAGACCTTGTTCCCGGGGGAGAAGATGGTGCTATTCGAGATGGAGTATGGCTTCGTGGCCCTGTGCTTCTTCCTGCTGGCCGTCATGCTGGCCAGGTGCGCGTTGCAGCTGCGCGCCGTGCTGCTCAAGATCGAGTTCTCGTCCTTAGCGGCCACCATCGCGTCGCGGCTGTCGCTCATTGGCGCTGTATCGTCGCTGCTCTTCTTCTATCGCAGTTTGCTGCTGCTCTTCTCCATGCCGGCCATCGACGTCTTCGACCCGCACGTGTCAAACCCGTGGCTGTTCTACGCGATCCCGGAGCTCATCCCGGGGGCCTTGGTGATCTACATGATGAACGTCAAGAGGCAACACCAGCCACCGGCGCCAACATGGGGGATCACAAAGGTGGACGAGCAGACGCCGTTGCTGCAAGAGTTGCGAAGCCTTTCCGACGACCTGCCGCAGTTCCGAGGGCAAGAACTGCACATCTAACCTTATTACTGTAAATTTTGTGCAATAGATGTTTGATTCAGACGGGCTACTTCAACACAGAACTACAATTAATGGCGATTGCTAGTCGTCATCGCTGCGAGGTTTGTTCCAGACCCACTTGTTGCCCGACAGTTTGATACCTTCTTCGACTGGACAGCCAGCATGCAGACTCATTGGATCTCCTTCGCCATTCGGTAGCATGCTGTAGAACACGACCACTTTGCGCTTCTTCGGCGCGACGCTAATGCCCTGTGAGCAGTCCTTGTTGGAAGAAGGGCGTGGCAGGCCACCTGAACGAGCGAAATTGGTGTGGCCGCCCTTGGCCACGTCCGACATGTACCAGAACACCGTGATCATGCGATTCTTGTAGCCGTATTCGATCCGCTTTAGGACGTCAAGCGAGTTACGATGGCGTTCAGCGGAGAAGTAGTCCAAATGCTGGTCGTAGTGCTGCGTGTGCTCGTAACGCAGTACTTGCACGGATTCCTGGTGGCTGATCGGCACCTTAACGAGGTCGGCCGTGCGTTTATCGATGTCTTGCACCACAGGGTGGCTGGATGAGTCCAGCCAGTATGTCGTGCTAGTGCGCCAGTCCGTGGCCGGTCGGTTCTCATGGCCGTCCTGCAGTGTCACGCCAGACGGCGCCAGGTGCGGCATCGACAGTTCCAGGATGATGTCGATCTCGTCGTCACGGAGAAATTCCTCCACGCTGAACACGAGCGGCGTCATACTGATCGTCTCCAGCACGAGATCACCACGGCCGAAGGTGTTCTTTACCAGTGCTGCAACAGAGCCAGCAAGAGTGCGTTAGAAAGCGAGACATCGTTTACATCTCTGCCATCTCAACAAAAACTTACTCTTGTGTCCTATACGAATTCCGGGCCAGATGAACTGGCCGCCCTCGAACAAGAACACGATCCGATTTTGCAGCACGGTGATGTTCTTCTCCAGCCTCTCTCCATCTGGAGTGAAATACGCTGGTGGTTGCTTGTACTTGCGAGCATACTCATCAGTCGGCTCTGGAATTTGCAGAATTTCTTCTTCCACCACACGTGTAAACGCCTCTAGATCCCTTGTCGTCTCCTTTGAGCTGTTTGCATGCATTCCGTCCTTAAACCCAGTCACTTTTAGCCTACAAAAACACGTATACATCTGCATTAGCCTACATCTTTTAGCTGCTAAGAAATTGCTCTCGCATTGACGCACGTGTCACTCGCCGTCGTCTCGATGCACAACACGTGGAACCCCTTGACTGGCATCGTGTCTGTCAGGAATTGGTGCGCATCGGCGCAGTCCACCGCGACCTCACTATGAAATGCATCAGGCACGTTGGTCTCCAGTAGAACGCGACGCACTGCGAGCTCCAGAGCCTTCGGATCGCGAATGCACGTCGCCACTGCGATGGCCAGCAGGGCCACCACCAGCCACGAGAAGGAGGAAGCGGAGGAAGACGGCCGCGATCGACTCGCCATTATGGAGACGAGGAGGCCAGGGCGCGATGAACAGTGAAGTACGCAAGGGCCATGTTCAGAGCAGCAGGTCAACGGATGTCAACAGTGAGATGACCATATGTTGCCGTGCAACTTGCTGTGCGTCAACGTTTCTGCAAATCGACGATCGCTTGCTTTCGTCTCAAGACTCTTGCATCAAGACATCGAGGGCTCTTGACTCACGAGCTCTACCAACCAATTGCCCCGTTATCTGAGCGCATTATTGCCCATATGGGTTTTTATACAAATGTACCCATCCAAATTTGGGTGAATTGACAGAATTTATCGGTCGCAAGTTGGAATTTGCATTACGACCAATAAATTCTGTTAAGGGACTAGGTTTCTGCTATTGTTATTAACTTATACAAGTTATTTTAAATCTCTGTAAACTTATAAAAAATATATCTCTGTAATCTTATGCGAGCTCAAATCAAAGTCGTGAAAAAAATACTTGTTTTATAAGAAGCGTTTTCTTTTCTGAAAATGTTATTTTGTAGAGAAATTAATTAAGGTAAAGTATTTGTACAAGAAAGCTAAATTTGAATAATTTTTATAATGCCAATTTAGCTTTTTTACTTGAAAGTAAGTAAAAAGTAGTTCAATATATTACTAGGTTCTTACAGTAGTATAATATCCAGTTATTTAATATAAATATATTTTTTATTCTATACATGTAGTTTCTAATAATAAAACAGATTTTATAGACTGAAGCTTCCAGCTTTTTAGTATTGAATTCAGTACTTTTCAATTAAAAATGCTAAAAGGTAGAGTAAGGCCTGTTCTGAGCGATGCGTTTTCTCGACGCATGCATCGAAAACACGTATCACGCGTTTTGATTGGCTATAAGTGTATCATGACCAGTACACCGTGAACGCATGCGTTGTTATGCGTTATTATTTTTGTCCAATCAATGCAATCTTCATCAGGAATCATATAATCTTGGATTTTACCCAATCAATACAATTTTCCAGAAGTCAGCCCAAAGATTTTGCCATCGATGGCCCGACTTCGTGTCGGGCTGCAAGCCAGCGACCAAGACGAGCCACGCCTCGTGTTGGTGGGGGCACCGTCTCGAAGCCGACGAAGATTTGTCCAGTCTCGTGATTTATAGTCACATTCACGCGAGTGCAAGTTCTTCAAAAGAGTGATCCTGTTGTTCGAGAGAAAGTATCGTGGAAAATCACTCTACAATTCTCTTAAAAGAGAAGAAAACCAAAAGATACTACAGAATGAATTTGGCTACTTTTGTAGATCTTCTTGTATCCTGGGGCCCTGGTTGGTAGTGGATTAGTACCAATCTTTGCGGCAGTCGAGAGACGCTCCCCCTCCAAGTCCAGCTGTAATGCTACAATGCGCTTTATCCTGGTTGGGAGGTGGTAGTTACCTGCACACTCGAGTAATTACAGGGGTAAGTATCACTACATTTTATCGCGTCGATTATCGTGTTATGTTTGCTATCAATAACGTATAGATACTGGCACCTCGGTTTACTACAACTCAAGATGATATAGAGAAAGTTGCCACAGAATTTCAATCTCTCAGCAACGGTGGAGTTATTGATAAGTACATCGGCACCATTGAAGGCTGGCTTTGTCCAATAAAGGTTCCCAGGAAGAACGAGTGCGGACGAGTCATTTCGTTCTTTTCCGGTTACTATCAAAAGTATGGACTAAATGTCCAAGCTTGCGCGGATCACCTCTCTCGATTTACGGCGTTTCCCATAAATTTGCCTGGGGGGATGAACAACGTTTACGCTTTTCAGCGTTGGAAGCTGGATGTACTTCTTCACGAAAGTTCTGGGCAGTTTTTCGTTATTGGCGACAATGCTTATGTCCAGAGCAAAAACTGTGATGACTCCTTATAATAAAGTGGAGTTGTCGGATTGACCTGGCCGAGACGACTACAACTTTCACATTAGTCAACAACGGGTACGGATTGAAATGGCTTTTGGGTTACTCGTAAACAAGTGGAGAATATTCAAACGTCCTTTACGTGTTCGGTTACGACATTGCCGAATCGTCATATCTGACTCCATTCGATTACACAATTTCTGAATCAGCAAGCGTTCGAAGGAAGCCGAGAAGTCTTCGAATCACATTCTGCAACTCTTACGTCGTGAAATGCGATCATGGAATAGGGATGAAGCTCTCGACTATAATGCAACTGCCCAGAGAAGTCGTCCTAAAGCAACAGTACTTTCTCGTTGATATTATCTCGTAATCCAAAGTGAAACCGAAGAAATTCTAGTGAAATGTGTGAATTCCACAATGTTGTAGGATTCCCATAGTTATGGCTGCGTGAAGAGCTTGCAGAGCAAACATCTCCATTCACAAACGAAACCAAATCCGCGACGAATCGAGTCGTTCTCTTGTTGAATGTGTTTGTGGTGGGAGGTACCGCTTTAAATCACGACAAAAGGTACTTGCTTGTGTCAGTTCCAATGGACAAGCAGCATGACCGTAGCCCTCTCTGTGTCCTCCCCACTACATTTAAGCCAGACCGATTTTGACCGTTTGGTTGATACTGTCTGGCGAGGTAGCTACTAAAACAAAAACGGCTGTAGCATACGAAAAACAAATGTCAGTGTAGTCATGGGCATATAATGCATGTTAGTATTTGTACCTCTTTGATCAGCGTTGTACACATTACTGATCCGTGTTCAATTATAGCAGCCCGCACTTTCCCAGCTCCCGCGTCCTCTGGTGTTGCTTGTCCTCTGGTGTTGCTTGTCCTTGACTCGTGCGAGTCCGAATTGACAGCTTGTGCCTACTCATGAACCGGCGCAGGACTCGCTCTTTCGTCAGCGGCCACTTCATGGGCTTCGAACTCCGGAATTTGAGATGTGACTGGGCAGCCATCTTTGCGCATCGAATTAATCCACACTCTTCAGCTCCACTCGAGAGAATTTCCGCTAGTCCACTAAACCGTAGATTCTTGAGATACCCCTCGGCGTCCTCACAAACCGATTAAATAAGCGCTTCTTGCTTTCTTCACTTAGAAATCTGCTTTTTGCTTGCGCGTCATATGCCTACATGTGCAATCGGGGGTAGAAGTAAGAGATGGCTTCGCCCACAGATTGTCCAGCGGTCAGATGGTTTAATAGCTCCAGCTTGTGTGAGTAATCATCAGCAATCCGAGCGTAGCACTTCGGCTTTTTGCCGTTTCCTGTTGTACGAGATCGGCCCATTGCACTTTATTCAGGAATGACATTTGAGAAGGTTATAATTAGCTCCGAGATGTGATATTTATTTTTATCCATCGGTTAGGATAGAGTGTCGTGATTGGTTATATTTAAATTTTGCTTAGGAGAAAACTTCGCTTAGGACAGGGGCGATGCGGTAGGGGACCCGTAAACCTACCTGGGGTCAGTACAAAGCATGGCAGTAACAAAAATCAGCAGCTATCAGGAATGGGTTGCCGCTGGAGTGGTGGTGGTAGCCCCAGTGGAGGACACACATTCGACCAGCTGATGATTGACAAGGTGCTGTCTCTGTTCCTACGCCATGTGTTACACCTTCACACGATTTACGCAGCTCTACAAGGAATTTGCATCGACTCTCGCATTCCTGATCGCCAGCGATTCCACACGCATGACAAACTCTTGCCAAGTCCCACTATAACAAATACAATCTTCGGGAAGGGGGTATGCATATCGGAATCGCGTTAAAGGCCAACACTGCATCTACTTGGTCGAATCGAAGCCCGCGACCTACAACGAATATTCAGTTTTAGCTGGGACGGAAGCAGAGTGGAATGGCCGCTGTACGAGCGCGGAAACGCATCCCATTTAGGCAAAACCACACGAACAACAGAATAGAGTCTAAACAGGGCGAGATCGAATAGGGTCATTCCAGGTTGATTTTAGGCTTTCAGGCAGTGCAGCAATGCGTATGTATTGAGTACGAATGTATTCAAGATTTACGGGAATACAGCCATAATGGGGGAGCTCACCTCCTTTAAGTTCAATTCATCCTGAGCTTCTGTTCCACACGAACAGATATTTTGAGGTAGCTACCTCCACCCGTGTCCTATAGGTCCGAGCACAGCACCAACGACGTCAAGTACGACTACGCCAACAGTTTCGATACGAGTACGCGATGTACTCATAGTCCTGGATCGGGCGTTTAGAGTATTCTGCGTCCTCTAACTACCACACCTGTCCCAATACGCCCGACTACAACATTGTCGACGTCAAGTTCCGTTACTCCTACAACTTCGAATACAAGCGCGAGACGTACGCATATTCGATGATAGGATGCTTTGGGCACGCAGCGTCCTCAAAGAATGGTACTGGGCTCAACTCTGATGATCCAGTTCCACTGGCTACGTATAGAACTATGACTGACCCGCCCACCCCAGATGAGTTCCAACTTCGATCACTGTTTGACGCAGTGTCGATACTATATATCCAACGTCAAATGCATCATCAAATAGATTTCCACAGCAGGTTTATTGGTTCAATCGGGGTGATGTAACACCTTCTGACTCAAGATCAGAACCAGAGCAGCATTACCAACGCCTCAGTGAGAGCGTGCAGGGGACACACCAAGAACTCGTCCTTAGGGTGATACCCTGCTCAGCAGACGTCTTGACGCACAGGAGCCAAAGGTAGAAGATGTCATCCGCAGATACCGACACTTGCTACTTTGAAAGTCCATGCTAACATGCTCCTTCTCCAACATCCTCTTGAATGTGGCAATCGCGGTGACGCACGCCTTCTGAGTGCTACTAGGAACGAAAGTGGTTTGACGCATCAGATCCCTCTACTTCTCTTACTTGTTTGAGTAATGGGGAGCTGCCTATCAATATCATGTAAACTGTCTCCCTACTCTAGGAAATGCCTTGCTGTCTAAACTGCACCATTATTTGAGAAAGTCTTTTCAGATTTGAATGTGTATCGACATATTCATACTTTCACGGGTTCCCGGCAAATATGTGTTAAAACGTGTCAAAGCGCAATGCCCAAAACTATAAGGAATGTAATTGGTCAAAATATATATTTTCATACATACCATTGGATAATAGTTAGTCTCATTGTACTACCAAACAACCATTTGTCAAAAGACTACTATATTCAACTTTATTATTGATAAGCCCCGAATTGTAATGCTTAGTACGGAGGATAAACAAAGTAACGGTGGTACAACTTTTTTCTATTTTCCAACCTCTGGTAGTATTTGTGTCGCCTATAATTCAGAGCTTCTTCAGGTCAGAGGCCTATAATACACTGCTTATTTTGTATTTCTTGAAATACCTTGACTTGTATACAGATGAAGCTGCTACTCTTTGGCGAGGTATACCCCGCTACAGTAGTATTATGTTACTATTAGGCTACAGTCGCAAAAGTGAGATTTTCACTAATTATGGATGTGTAACTTGGATATCTGTGATATATACGGTACAACACTAAATGCAGTAAACAATTGCGTTTTCGCGATAAAAGCGCATAACAAGTCTAAGCCGCGCTATATTCGGATCTAATTGTGTCATTTTGAATGCAACTGATTCGCAGCTGAAATACTCAGATATTCATAATAATATCGTATTTATCGATAAGACATTGAATTGCGTATAAAACTAACATTTCGCATAGCCTAGTATGAACACCAGTTTAACTCCGCTGTACACTGCAGACACTGGCTCATACTTCATCCAATAGCTACAAATGCTTCAGAGGGTAGTGTGGTGGAGTGGGATTCGCAAAATCGCGTTGCGATCCACTC